TTTCGTATTTTTGATTTGATTGATTTGATTTGTAATGCTTACCAAAACTATTGATGGGATAAAAATACGTGAAAATGCTTCGGATGAAGCACCAGTGAATGTTATGAGAACATCGATACAGGAAAATATACCTAAATTTTGATCGGTAATTTTTTTTTTCATTTTTTATCACTCATTCTTTTCCAATTATTTTAAATAAAAAATGAAAATTTCATATTAACCGCTAAATTAGTAGCTTCAACAAAACAATCTTACTTTTGTTAAGGATTGATTACACGTTTTACGTGTGCGTTCACAGTATTTTGAAAAAGAAGAAAAAAGATTTTGTTGATTTAAACAACATTTTCATGTCTATAATTAGAATAATGAAATTCATCAATAACTGATGATATTATTTCCGTTTGCTCTTTATTTTCAAAATTCACTTTACATTTTGCTATTCAGATGAAGCGCTAAAATCCATTGAAATTAAGTTAAAAAAAAATTTTAACATCTAAAAATATTTCGTTTAAAATTAAGTAAAAAAAAAAAGAAACTTTACACATACAAGAATTCTTCAAAATTATTCAGTTCAAAAAATTTTACAAAATTAGTGAATTCAGAAAATTCGATAAATTTTAAAATAAATTTTAGTAAAATTATAAGAAAAAAATTAAGTAAATAAAAAGAATTTGCAAAAACTTCTGAAAAAAAAAGCTAACCAATTGTATAATTTCCAGCGCAATCTTCAGCTATTGCTTCTTTAAATTCATAAAAACCGTTTAACAATTCCTGCGATACTTCAACCGGAATCACAGTTGGCGGTGAATTTGCCCATAAATAGACAATATCTTCAATTGGATATTTATCTGCAAAAGTACAAAAATTTGTTGCAAATGTTATCGCAATGCTTTTAAATAAATTATCAATTAATATTTTAATTTGCTGCGCATCAAATATAATTGGAAAGAAAGACTGATCCTCATGCGGAAAATATGATAACATTTCTAATCATATATATGTAGGAATACAAAAATAATTCATTTATGTCATCTGTAATGAAGCTTAAGATTATTGTAAATAACAAATGCAGCATTTGATATTACATCTAACAACAAATTTCCCTGAAATAATTTTTTTATTTAAAATTTAACAAACAGATTAAATTTCGATACATTAGTAAATGATTATGTGAAATTCTGGCAATTTCTCTTAATTTGAGGAAAAAACCACGAATCATTTATTCTAAGCATCTTTTTATTAGATTTATTTAGAGTATTGAAAATGAGCTTACAACTTGATAATCGTAATTTAATCATTCGAGTATTTTCAAACGGATATTTTGAGCTATATTCCACTGGTACTGTCACTGTCCGCCTTCAAATTATATTGTAAAAATTAAACGATAATTTGAGTAAATTTATTAGGGCCTATTATTAAGGCTTTGGAAAGCATAAATGCATGATGCAAAAAAAAAAGGAAAAGAAGGCTAAACAAAAACTTATGATGTTTTCTTCGACTAAATATAATAATTTTCTAAATTACGTTTAAAGTTTTTTGAATTTAATTTCTGAAATAATATTAGAATGAAATAAATTCCCCAAATGTTAAAATTGCAAATTGCAAAAATTTATAAACAGTTTTATAGTCATTTGTTTGAATAAATAAAAGGAAGAAAAGTTATTTTTTTAATGCTTTGCCTTTCTTTCATTTGGAAAATTGAAAATTAGAGAAATTTTCTATAAGCATAAATTAATTTTTATTCGTTTCGGAAATAAAGCTAAATGTTAGCATTACATTGTTAGTTTCAATAATCTTTTGTTGAAATGTTAGCATTACGTTGTTCGTTAACTTTTAACAATTTCATAGAAAATTTGTAAAAAATGTTAGCATTAGTAGCTGTTACTTACTAATGTTCTAACACAAATATTTTATTTTAACTTTATCAAACCATTGAGTGAGCAGATTAAAATTTTGCTTGCTCTATGATAATAATGCTTAGTAAAATGATGCGAAGTTTATTTTTCAGTCCAAATCTTTTGCTGTTTTAAACTTCCCTGAATAAAATTATTTTGCTACAAAAAAAATTAAGAAAATTAGATATTTAATTTGACACATATCAAAATAGTAATTTTCATAATTAAATACTTCTATTGATACAAAAAAAGATAAAGATTTTTCAGTATCTTAAAAACGAAATCACTGAAATTTCTGAGGAATTACTCAATCTTAAGCTTTGAAAAAAATGATAATGATTAATTTTGGTGATGAAATAAATGAATAAACATTAATCTCAAATATTTTTATTGGTAAATTTTTACAAAATTTGATAATCGTAGCAAAATGATAATAACATTTCGGAAGATCGAACATATCCAGAAGGTTCGACAACCGTCCGATGACGTTTTTCATGATTTACATCGTGACCATTTGAGAAATACGTATCAGGTATCCAAATACGCCTATTTTGTGGCACGACCACCTCTTCAATCCCATCTCGATCGTCGACCTCATATACAAGTCGACTGTCTTCCCATTGCTGGCGTAAGTATAAATCAACAA